TTGTATAACGTTTGCAGGCGCTTACGCGCAGCATGCCAAAGCCGTCGATAGGCTCCTGAGCTAACTCTGCTCTAACTCATGTTACAGTAGTCCTTCAGAGATATAACCTAGTAATTCGTAAAGCTAACCGCAAATATTTATACTAAGAAGAAATATTCCAAGTTGTCTTGACCAGATCTCAGCATATCATGTGATGGACTGAGGGCTCTCCCCACATCTCATCAGCTTATAGGGCCCGCAGTATCTCTAGTGTTATGCATTCGCAACACCCTATCGTGTGAGGCGAGTTTGGGGCCCTAGGGATCATGTGGCTCTCGGAGCTCCTGGCACGGGTCAAGTTGCGAGGGCCACATGATCCCTAGGGCCCCAAACTCGCCTTAAACTAGCCCGTCTGAAGGGGAGTGTCTCACACTTCCTGTTTGCAACCCGCCCTCCACCCAAATATGCGCCAAGGTGAGAGCTGACAACATCTTCACTTTGTTGCATATTTACGGGGTCCGTTGTAGCTTGATCTTGGCGTGAGCAACTGCATAAGGGGCTTATTCACTCTGTTAGCTGATCACAGGTCATCTTTCTCGCTTGTTTTAGGGTCGGCGCAGCGAAGTATTACTGGAAAGGTATTCGGTGCAAATTCTGGAAAAGCTGTCGAAGGCTGTCGGAGACCCATGGGGCCAGCAGAATGATCAACGGAAAAATGGGACATCTTAAAGTGTTAACTGCAGCGTTCGTTTACCTTCCTTTGCCTCTTTACAGTGGTAGAGCTGTAAGCTGAACTCTAGCATTTTTCTGTTCTGTATGCATCCTCCCTCTCTGTTGGGCATTTTTGTACAGGCCTTGCTTTTTAGGAAGGAAAGCTGCAATAGCCTCTATTAGATATTGGGAAATGCAGTGACCTTTTCGCTTGCGCCTGCTTCCGGGAGTCAGCCAACATGCACATGGGGATGCCTAGATTGGAAGTCAGGATCGTTCTAGGCTATTGCGCATGCTACAGCACTTGCGAGTAGAAAGAATGCGGCTGGCATAATCTCCAATCCGTGCTTCAACTGCTGATCTAGTAATTCTACCTTTGCAAGTGGGTCGCTCCCCGTCTCCAGAAGTGAGATCCGGTATGTGTCCCGCGTGGAATTGTTCCAAAACGCGGTAAGCTGTAAGGTAGTATACATATATCAAAGGGAGGGAATGCATATGTAGCGATTGCATCAACTCCAGGCTATGCTGTCGCCAGGGTGAGAGCCTTAGCCCTGGGAAAGTACGAAACTTGTTCCTCAGAAGTAACTGCTTTGTATACGCGCAATTAAAGCTGTTTCTCGGTGCCTTGCAAGGTTCGCGTTGCAAGGGCTGCATATACCATGGTTTTTAAGCCTCCTTTCTGAAGAAGAAAACGAGCGTTTGCTCCCCTGGAGGTCAAGCCATTCAAATTCACCTACCGTGGTGACCGTCCCACCGGGTGGATAGTCCTGCAAGGCCCATCAATCCTTTAAGAGGAATGCACTGGGCAATACTCATGCACAAAATGAGGTTCGCACTACGTATGGTCGCTTTTGTCACGAGTGATTCTTACTATGGGCAACATGATTAGCCACATTGTCGTGGCACAAGCATTCACCCACCTGCGCAGAAGGAACGCCTGATGTGACGGCTCAACTCGCCTTCCCGCCTACTAAGAAGCGGAAGTTGCGGAGTAAGCGGAGACTATGGAAGGTTATTATGCTTACATCTAGATTATGCATTTACGCGAGAAAAAATACGATTATTTGTTCCGAGTTCCGTGCTCCCCTCAAGAATGAAAGCGAGGCCCTTGACCCGGAAGTGCTTAGGCTCTTCGTGCGCCAAGTGCATTAGCTGATGTTAACGGCAAGATAGCCTTAAGAGCAGGACTTTTGCACTGGTCACAGAGCGATTTACTCAGCTTTGAGCTACAAAAAAAATATTTTTAAGCGTTTCCTCGACCGAAGCTCAGGAACGTTGGCGCGCTACATAGTACTGTGATGCGCTTGGAGTCAGTCATAAGCTATGAACTGGGGTTGCGCAAAGGTTTCGAGTTGTATGGGGCTCATATGAATATATTAGTGGGCGCGAAACACGTGCTAGCAGGTCTCGGAGAAAAACCGTGAAAAGCCAGTCTTTATGCAGAGCGATAGATAATAAAGGAAGTGGCTGGCTTGATTCGTAAGCAAAACATATTCATGGTGATTTGGGGAGTCTGGCGCGGGAGGCTTACGCCTTACGGGAAATACAATAGCTGACAGAGTTATCACTCTCTATTGAAGCCTCTCTCTGACTGAGGCTCCAAAGAATGCGTGAACACTCTGTCGGTTTCACGCAGCCAATCTGATTGGCGCAGCAGGGCAAACGACTAACGGCGCTTTCTGCAAGCACGCTCAGGTTGAATCCGTGTTGGCATTGGCGGCCGATCCTTTCCCGACGTGCTAAGGCCGAATCGAGAGCTTCGCGCTCCTATGTGAGGTGGCGGGTAGTGGGCGAGGCGCAGAGCTTGCCATACAAAGATAGTAGTCAGTCCGATGCCCAATATAATCCACCAGCAGATTGGGAGCGTCACCTGAAAGGCTCGGAAAGCCAGTGGATCATCCAGCGTTTCGCGCCAACGTTCGTTTCCCGCACATGCCATGCTGGCTAGGCAAAAGCCAGAAAGCAACCAAAGGAGCTTGACCTTCATACAGTGTTTTAGTTGAGCGGATGTTATCCATCTGAGTTATGACACCAGCCGCATCGCATTACTGACACGAGCTGCCACTTTCAACCTTAAGCATGATAGGCCACGCTGATATAATTTTGGGTGGGTGGCAACCCCACCGAATTCCCTGGTGGAACGTTCACTTAACATGCTTAGCTATCAGTTGCCTAACCTGCGTCTCATGATCAGCATTTTGTGGCGCAATTCATTGGGGATGACACCCAGAACGCTCTGAGGCAAGACAAGGTGGCAGGATATCCCCAGATTCAGGGAGTGGAAGTTGCGTGGCCTGTGCTACTACCACCTGAACAAATGTGCCACTTAGGTTGAAGAAGATTGCTTACCGTCGGCTGCCAAGTGTAACCACGTTCTCGTTCATGCTCAAACAGGACGTACCATAAGTCCTGACGACACAAATACAAAATAGTTTGAGTTGTTGTTCTGCGGCGTCTGTGACTTTTGTCCGCTTTTACGCTACATATTCAGCGTCTAAGTTCCAGGTCATTCTAAGTAGTACGTAGCTCCCATATCCTAGCAAGGCCAGTGAAATGTAGATACTGCTCTTGGGGCGCACCCTGTCACTCTCATGGCGGTATTTCTTGACGTCTATGACTTGGTATACTTTCGCCATTTTCGATGCTCCTGGGGGCTTCTCTTCTAGCCTGCGGAAAAATATAACCCTGCCACGGAGACGTGTGCACGCTGCGCCTAGAGTATTATCTGCACCTAGCTTACGCCGACTGTGACCGCAACCAAATGTGTTCATTGCCATTGCCCTCTTCCACCACTGTAACGAAGCATCCGAACTTCTTTACCCACTGCTATCCACGCTTTTATTTATTAGTAACTCCTCTTGCATTCTGGAGATCTTCGTGTTAGTGGAGCGGATTGGAAGCGCACCACTGGCATGCCGCTCGTTTGTGATCTTATGGCGTTGTTTACTTGTAATAGTGAATGTACTAACTGGTATTGGACTGTAAATACACCTTTGCTACTTTCGCTGTTATAGCCAATTGTGGTTTCATTCAATTCATTAGAGCTCGGCGAGGGTGTGCAACGCTAAGCCCCGGGGCTGCCCGCCAGATGCAGGTCACGGGGCTGGAAGCCAAATGCGAAACGCTATGAAACTGGTTTTCTGCGGAGCAAGTTTCTGCTTTGTCTTTGGAGGACCATTTTTAAAACACGATTTTTTGGATGATGGAGCCCTCATGATAGTCCGTTTGATCTCAGCCTGAGTGGCAGGCACTGCATCGCCCCGGGTGGAGCCAGTTATACCCAGACAGCTTCGCTATCGAGGCGCGTTCACCTTCTCGATATTCTAGGCTCCCCACAGGTTCCCTGCTCTTATATTACATTATGCATGGACAGGAGGACTGGCTGAAGACTGCGCAGTTTTCTTGCCGTTGGGGCCGAGGCCGTTTGTGGCGCCAATTTGAGAGCCTGCTCCCGTCGTAGTATCCATATCGAGTTCCGTGATTGTCAAGACCAGCTGGAAAATTTATGCTTCTTGGAAATTGTTTTGGCTTTTGGAATTTTTATACTAGAGTCGTTGACAACACGTATGCACAAACGCACATATTTCTGTAATATATATGTGGACGTACTACATGCATGCGTATAATATCTATAGTGCGTGCATGCATCCAAGGGCGTCAGTGGATCCATAGAGGTAAGCGCAGAGGAACGCCGCATTGATGGTAATTTGGAAAAATATCATCCATAGCGTGTGTTCAGTTTCACTGAGGAACGGGGTGCCAAGTTTACCGCCCGACAGGAGACGGCTGCCACCTTTTGACCCTTCTCTGCCTACCGTGGGAAACAATGATACAGACAAGGATAGCAAGTAAGGCACAGCCAGTCCCTCTTACGGAAATACCTGTAGGACGCGACGGTTGTGTTTACTACTCTACAGAACAATTGCTCAACTGGGAGATAAGGCTTAGGCAGAAGGCGATCAGAAGCGCGGCCGCTTCCAGCGGGTGGTATCGAGTGCGTGGGTAGCAGGGTAGATAGCCCTAAAACGGTACTTACACCGAATGCGTAAAATAGTGCTAAGTTTAGCATATCTGTGCTGAGACTAACCTTTGTGTCGACCTAAGGTCGCGTTAGCATCGCACCAAACTGCAACGCCGTGTCCAAGTGGCAGTACCGGCTTGTTGTACATCTGTGCTCAGAAGGCAAAATCAGGACCTTTGAACAGCTATAGCAATTGGTCAGAGAACTCCAGGACAGTCAGGCCGCCTCTACTGTGGCTTGTGAAGCGTCCTTTTCGTAAATAAATACTTTAGGGGTTCTTATGCTTTCGTGCGTGTGCTTGCCAAGTGTATAAGCATGGTTAGTTGCTCTGGCATGCTGCAACGAGGCACGGGAAATTCGTTTGTTGTCACTATTTTAGCGCCGCAATCAGTCAGTTTTGGAGTTACTGGCAGATATACAGCGGAGGCCGGCTCACTGTGGAGGGAACTTGTGAGTTGGAACTGCAACAAGAGCCAGCGAAAGCGGCACAAACATCCGTTCCCAGCATATATCACCAGCATCTGCCATAATTATGGGTGACCTATATGCGCCGCTTTCGCTGGCTCTGGTTGCAGGCTCATAACCGGATGTCGGGATAATGTTATCTTGCTATTCACGCTTCAAGTAAAGACGTATTGATCTATTGGGAGACGTCCTATGAGCAGTTGACGGGGCCATGCTAGCAATCGCTACATTGCATGCCTGCAAAGCGAGTCTTGATTAGGTTCTTCCTAATTGTGTGCCTGCGAACAGCTACCCACGTGTACGAGACGGTCCGGAACAATTCTGGGGTTGTCGAACTAGGTGACTAGCCATGACCTTCACACGACAGGAAGATCTGGCGCAGGCAAAACCTCCACCAATCTGTTCCCCTGCTGTTGATTGTGAAGAATCAAGTCTCCGTACTCGTGGAAGCTGAGAGTGTGCATAACCGGATATGGCAATTCCAGGGATTCCAACAGCAGGAGATGCTTCACTGCATTACAAGGAGAAACGAACTGAATCCGCAGGGGCGCTGCATGCAGCTGCTGTCGCGGTATAGCCAAACATATACACGCTTGCTAGTGTATATGTTTGACTCCATCGGGATGTATGCTGCATGCAGCGCCCCTGCATATGCAGTTCGTTCCTCGTAGGAATGCCATGGACCCTCCTCTGCCATCCTACTTGTTTATCGTTGACGTTGCGCTTGGACGCGACTTGATGACACTTTCTGCCTTAGTTTCCAAAGCAGCTGCTCGTTAGCCTGCATTTCCAGATGCACGATGCACCTAGGCGCAGTCCCATGCACGAATTGGCGTTTCCTGTCATTAGTAAAGCTTGAATATCGCCTAACTCTTGGAATGCCTTTCTCTTGCCTGGAGCAACGAGAGAGAAGCTCCAGGTTAGCTAATGCACAGTGCAGTCATACGCACCTGATGAAGGATTCCCAGACGCCCTGTAGCAAGGTGGGTTGAAGCGCAATGCGAAGACTCCGTGGTGCACCCCCCTGGATGATGCCGTCTATATCGTGCTCTTTCCTCCGTTTCTTCTGCTGTTGAGAGCGACGGTAGTGTCTCAATCTGCTGGAGCCGGAGGCGTTCTTCTGCATGCTGAATGAGTGTTTCGGCAGTGCTAAGAGCTAAGCGTGCTGCGGAAACGGACGAATTCTCCTGTAGTTCCGTGACAGCCTGGGTCATATTGGCAATTACTGCTGCAGCTACTACGGCCCAAGGAAAACTGGCGTTATTGGCCGCGGATGCTTGCACGGCTGCTTGGAATTGTGCAGCCACTGCAGTGACCCGTGCAGCCTCCTCTGTTTGTACATTACGCCAAGCGGCGCTTTCCGTTACTGAGCAAATACCAGGATGCGCATTCGTGGATGCACTTCTTTCTGTAGGCAGCGTCGCTGCTGCACAGTCATGGAGTTTGAAGTTGCAGGCGTTGACTGCTTGGTCAAATGAAGAAAATACTTACCTTCTTGTGTCGTGGCGTTGCCCGGTCTCTTAGAGCCTTCCACGGGTTGGGGGACAATGATAGCTAAGCAATTCACGTAGGCTTCAATGCTACGTTGAAGAAGGCATTGAGTCTTTGGGGCATGCTCAGTGGTCCCACAGACTTGTGTTTTTTGCTTCTCTTCATGAGAGTGCTGAATTTCTCTTGGCATTGATGACGGGGGATGCGCACTCCCGACCCCGTGGTGTGTTGTCAACGCCAACCGAAGCACAGTGTCGGCCTCCTCTTTCACTTTCCTAACCTGTTGAAGCCTGCAGCAAAGGCGCAGGATCACCCTCCTTAGTACAAAATGTATAACTCGCTGAAGATCAGGAAGCTTGAAAGACAATGCAAAGGAGGGCAGCGCGATTTCGCAGTTGAAATAGGGTCAGCGTTAGCTTCCGATAAATATCCGCAGCTGGGCAGTGGGTAGTCGAACCTTCGTATGTGCAACAAGTCAGCGGATATGGCGGCTCTCTCTTCATCTGAGCAACCCCTTTTCCCAATATTCGCATCATGCACCGTGGTTTTGGTTTGGGAGGGCTCTAGCTGCAGCAGTTCTTCGAGGCATTTTGCCGCACTGCCAGCAGAACAATGCAACTAAAAGCAACGCACAGTTACACGTTGTCTAGTTTTCTCTAGCAGATGGCGATACATACATTATAGATATATCATGCAGCACATTAAGCTCATCGGTATAACCATGAATGACGTGAATAGAAGCAAAAGGCCTACTCGTCAAGTGCGTCGAGCCTCAAAAAGGCAGTAGAACGTCGAGCCAGCAGGATATGCTGCAAGCGCAAGAGTTCCGCCTGCAGTGGGCCTTTCTCTACCGGGTGCCCAGCTACAGCTGCTGCTTCATCGTCTTGCTGCTGTAATTCCTGCAGAAGTGTCATTGCTTCATTGCAGTCCGAAAGAGCCTGTCGCAATGAATCCCAAGATACTTGCTAGCTTCTTAAGCCCCCGTGTTGCTGTTGTGTTGGGATATCAAACATTATTGCTCTCGCCTAATCACTACAGCGTCGGGGCATCAAGTTAATGCAAGAGCTCAGGAGTGCAGGCAGCACGTTTTTCATGAACTGTCATACCTTTTTAGTGTGTCCTGAAGCTAGCCGAGCCAAGCTTCGCCCACACAGCGCCTTTATATAAAACATCCGATGAAGGGTCTCGCGCTGGGTTGGCTGTAAAATTAAGCTATATGTTTCATCTGCTGCTGCCGCATCTCCTCCAATTAGTAGGCGGGTTGCTTTCGAGTGTAGCCATGGTGGACTACTTTCCTGCAGCCGCGATAAGTCTTTGGACTTTTCCCTGGTGCAAATCTGCCTGCCAATATCTGGCTCACTCTGAGGCAAAGGCGGAACTAGAGGGCCTCTCGCAGGAGCTTTATTTGGTCTCCTAGCGGCAAACGAAACCTTTATTTTCGTGGATGGTAACAGTTTGACCGACTGGATTCCCAGCTGTGCTGGTTGACTATCATTGGATGCCCCAGTTAGACCCTTGTCCGCAGAAGCAACTAGACTTTTTGAAACGGGAGAATCACTCGTTTCCTTCATACGTGCCCCACCTTGCGAGGCAGTTGTAGGGGCTACTGTTCTGGCTTGTGGTCCTTCCTTTCCCTCGCTTGTAGATGCCTCGTCATCGTAATTTACAACTGTGTTTTGCTTTTCACCTAAAGTGCCGATGTTGCAACTATCTTCACTTAGACCAGCTGCGGGACACGGGTCAACGAATGCCTGCAACTGCTGCCGCCCCTCGTGAGTGCTAGATGCATCCGTCGTTGTTTCTGGTTCGCAGATGCACTTGAGTTTATGCTCCCATGCTTCACGGTCGGCAATGGGACGGGGAGGCTTCTCCTGCGTTTTCTCGAATTCGACTGGCTGTCCAGTGTCGTCGTGCAGCTGTTGGAGGACCTGTTGCACCTGGATGTCCTTTTGACGTTTGCACCATTCCCGTTGCTCTTGTTGCTGCCTCCAAATATGTTTTTGCTGTTGCTGCTTCCGTGCATCACGTGCAGCGATGCGCTGTTTCTGTACCTGGTCCTGCCACTCGGCATACTCCGCAAGAGCTATGCGCCTACGCTCCCTAATATCTTGGTGCAGCTGTGCGTTGCCCACCGCTGTCAAAGATCCCCAAAGGCCTTCTTCGACCTTGGGAACAGTAATAGTTAGACAGTCAACTCCAGGAATGACTGTAGCAGACCGAAAAGCGACGTCTCCCCAAAAATCAACCTCGAGAAGCCAGGGATGCCAGCACACGCGAAGGTAGCAGCTGGCAACGATGACCGACAGTTGCCTATCGCGGTGCCGCTGTCGCAGATCAGCCTTGAGCGAGGGGATGCGCAGCACCAAGGAAATGTGCGTGACTGTCTGTGACCACTCGTAAGCAATCGTATTCGGCATTGTGCACTACAAAGACGGCTTTTCTGGACTCTTTGAACAGTTCTGCAGGAAGGTGCACGGCTGGTCTGCTTTGATGCTGTGGAGTTGTTGCGCTACACAACACCCCTCACAGAGTATAATAAGATGTCAAAACGCTGCGTATCGTTCGACGCCACCGACAGTCCAGGTCGTTCGCCAGAGGGGTGGGTAGGCGATCGTCTGGAGACACACCAGAAGGCTTGGTGTGTCGCAATTCCGCCAACGCAGCGGGAAGAGCAAAATGAAATCAATTTTTGTTACAAAAACCCAATATGACTCTTTTTTTTCTAAAGCAGGTACCCGAGTGGCGTCAGCGTCCGGCCGGTCGCATTGGCGACTCCCGGAGCCAACTTCTGTAGCCAATACCAACCGCGGGACCGCACCTCGAAAATAATGGACATAACACAACTATACATGTTTTTTCAGGACTTAATCGTGTGCAGAAGTTCAAGGCGACAGCGATAGCCACAACAGGATGGCTACTATCGACGGCCTGCGCGAGCTGTCCCCCCTTATGCGTTCTGGTTAGGTCACCTTGCTCGTTTGCTGGAACACCATACCGTTCGTCTTATACAAGCTCTCAAACGAGGGAAGAGCCGAATGGAAGGATTTTTGTTTCCATATTTGGCCACCTGCACAGAGCTACGCTATGCCTCGAAGCCCCCCGGCATTGCCGAAGAATTCAGCCTTAAACGAGAGTATATGGAGCCAACCTAGAAAGAAGTGCAACGCCAGATATAGTTGGGGAAAAAACTCCAGTGGCCATTATGGTACGTTTGCCACTGGCAGCAATCAGGCGTGATCGCAGTTGCAATCGCGCCGCCAACCGGGGAGACAAAAGAGGTGCATAGAACTCTAGGGATGGAGCATATATCCATTAAAGTGACTTGTTTATCGGAAAGTTCAACTCCATTCGAAACTGGGGGCGGGTGGACCCTATCTGAGACAGTAGCCGTTCGCGTTGTCGCTGCACCCACTGCTTATTTCCATTTTCTCTGCTAAAAATGTACAGCAGGTGGTCTATATATAGCAGTTATGTTAATATGCTAACCTAAGTGAGCAGTCTGACTGCACTGAAGTGATGAGATGCCGTCAACCCTCAGCGAGCGACCTTCAATTGACACCAGCGCACACGAAATTTCAACCACTTTCCATTGACAACCTTTGCCATGGCACTGTGGACCGTACTCCGTCTGCGCTTCCAACGGCATTCACGCCCTGGTACATGCCAGATACAGGTGAAACTCGCAGTGAGGCTTCGAAGGTCATTCAACTACCGCACAGTACGGACCTTAGCATCTCCGTAATACTCTTGACCCGTCAGGTCGAGACTTGTTTGTTCCTGCAGATTGCAAATGGCAAGCCTGTCAAGTTGATCCACTAAGAGGAAAAGCATTCTCGTTTGACTTAGTGTCTGAGACCGCCAGATATACAACTACGAAGAAGCCCCTGCAGGAATGATGTGATCAAATGCCGTGCATTTGCTTCACTTCTTTGTGGCACTCCAGAGAAGCCGTCTTCCACCTTTGCGCTCCAGTTTGAAAGTATTCGCGTAGTCATAGTACCTGTTAGCCCACGAGCCGCTCCCCCTATTTAACGGCTAACCATGAATATTCCAACTCAACTGCAATGCTGAGTAGTAGTTAACCACCGATCTCGAGTTACGTGGGGCTACAGAACCACTTAAAATGCATTCGCAGTCTTGCTGTTTTCATCTGCTCCCTGCAACGATGCACTTTAGTGTTGCATCTATTGCCGTGCAGCGCACTAGGAAGTGCGTGCCACCGTTTCAAGATGTCTGTACAGACTTAAAGCAAAGGAACAGGTGCTACGGAAGGACGTAGCGTGTGAAAGCGATGGAGCCAGACACTTCCCTTCCCTCATTCAGCCCTACAGGGGCATTAGTGAGCCTCTTTGTAACGACTCTCGCTGCCACCCCGGGTGCTGTCGGCGTCCTGTCTTCTCTATCGCGGAATTCTGGGGTGTTAGATCAATCTGAAGGACAGTCACAATTGATTGGACTAGGGCATCCTCTGAGAAGGAGACCTGGCTAGTCGTGCTGCTAATGCCAGTATTACATGCTCTGCGATCGTCTCCGCTAGCGACAGCGTACCTGAATACTGCGCATGTGCCACTGGTTGCTGCACCTTTTCCTGCATGATTCAGGTCCAACACAAGGAACCATCCCATTCTGCAAAAACGGCAAACACAGTCCCGACACCAGTGCTTTACAAATTCTGCTGATTGCGCTGCAAGCAATGGGGTGGCACAATTTGTCGACGAAATCAACCAATACATTTCCCGCATGTAAATGCAAGAGAACTGATGATCCTCACGCGCATGTGGCTCTGCTGCCGTGTAGCGGCGGTCTTCCGAGCAGCTCGAAAAGCTTCCTCTGTAAGTGGCGTACACGTTTGCTGAGAAAAAAAGCAGCTTAGCAGTATAATTTAGGTAGTGTTTGCATTTGGGAGCACTGCTTAAGTACTTGGCCTCAAGAGAGAAACACCCGAGATGCAACTAAACGGCTCACGTCGAGATTATCGCCCTCCACTTTGCTTCTCCTTTTGCCCTGAGCAAACTTGAGAGAGTCGGATTCTGCTGGATACAAAGTAGACTGCACGCAAACACACAGAGATGGCGATTCGTGGTTGTGTACGGTATGTAAAACTCACGTCTCCCACATTGTGAGTCGTCCAACAATCGTATGACATTTCCAGCCTCTGGCAATCGAGCTTTGCAACGGAATATTCCGATGCTACTGGCTGTCAAATTTGACGCACCGGCTCGAGGTGCCCTCGAGTGTAACTTCGATGCTTGGTGCTCTTCATTCTTCGCTCCACACAAGAAATTTCATCAAAGCTTTGCCGTGGGATTAGTCCTGCCTAAATACGCAGTAAGACAACGTTATATGCATGCTGCGTGATTCACTCAAGACTGACAGAGTTGTGAACTCTGTAGCTGCACGCCTGGAAGGTCAATGCTGCTCAACTTCAGGGCACACCTCCAAGTTCTCTTCTGTTCCAGTCCCCCTTAGCTTTCGCGGCTCCGGCAGCTGGTAGTTGAGGACATCAACGCCCCAGCGGCATGGGTTTTCTGCAGCGTGAACGTGAGATATTCGGCGATGTGAAGGCACGACCGGATCACTGACCCTGCAAACCGAGCAAACACAAGCTACACGGACGGTTACTAGGTGGAAAAGTTGCGTGAAGATGCAAATACAATGTGACACAGGGGCAGTAAACTATGGTGACCACAGCGTACATGTAAGAATGACTGATTATGCCTCGTATGTCATGCTGATCACGATTGACACATAGTGATGCCTTCCCGCCAGAGTGTCGGTTGTTCCCGACTGGGTCACTCGGGTTAGCCTTGACAAAGCGATGCTCCAAAATTTCCCCAAACTTTTGTTCACCAGGGGGTGCAATTTGTCTTTTCAGACTATGAGAAGTGCGGAATTTTTCGCCTCCAGCTGACGATCCGTGCAACCCGTGGTTGTGCAGAATCTCAGATTCTTCAGAGCCTGACAAGCACACAGGGAGCATTTGATTTTACCCTCATCATTGCTGCTTTGGGCGAAGCATGTTCGCTAGACACTATGGGTTTTTTGCAGACGTAAATTGCCCACCGTTTGATGTCCAATTAATAAGATCTTGAAGTTTGCTGCTGCTGTTCCTTCGTTGAAAGAGCTCTAGCCTCCGTGCATTAGGGGACCCGGAAGCCTCTTCAAGTCTACCGCTAAGCCTTGCGGCAACCTGCAAAAACAACACGACAAAACGCTTACTTTAATATACAAGTCTGCATGACACGGAGTTTTTGGTACCTTGCCCAAACATGGCGAACTTAGACCGCTGAATATGTTACTATGGGCCACACCTGAGAACTTGCACGGTGTCGACGAATTCGATGCCATCCTTTGTCTTTTTCCTCTTCCCAGACTGTTTGCAGGCCAGCAGCAGTGCCCCTACAAGAAAGAGAAACAGAAGCAGAGAACGGCCCGAGCGTGTGTTCTAGCAGAAGCGACGGGAAGCTCCAAAACCCTGCAATATCTTGCAGTAGCTTACTTGGTTCCATCCCATTCCACATCACGAGGTTGCGGAGTACCAAACAATGCTGCTTGCGGTTGCCTGACCGAGCACACACAAAGAACTCGCCAGCTAAAATAAATAGACTCTGCCCAGTCTGCATAGTAGTTCGAATAATGCAGAATCGTTGAAACTCCTCACCTAAGAAGCTCTTCCGTCCTTTTTCCGCGAGTCGCTCTCCAGCATTTATCTTCATTGCATAAGCTGTATTCCATTTTCTAATGTAAAGGGAAGTCCACAACTCCCAGGGTGGAATCCGTCTGCATAGGCAGCTGTCAATCAGCGCGAAACACCTTGTCCTCCAAGATTGCTCCAGAAAAGGCCAGCCAGTCACGAAAATACCCAACTGCCTTCCTAGAGGGACGAAGCTATTATTTTAGCCACGAGCAAGCTGTGGAAGGGGCCCACCGATATCTCAGGGAACAGAGCAAAAGACAAACAGCAGCTGCGTAGCATAGAAGTGGGAACTGAGAAGCTCAAGAGGAGTGCTAGTTGAAAGAGAAGCTTGGATTCTTAGGCTCCCCCTAAAGCCCTGCTCTGGTTGCTTCTTGGGCAGTTCAACCAGGCGTTGCAGGCGCCCTCACAAAACACTGCCCGACTCAGACCACATAAGGGCATGGAGAAATGAGGTAAGTATATTTGGACGGTAAAAAATACTACGGCTCCTTGTTTCTATGTATGCTGCTCTCCTTTTGTAAGGACTACCATGAAAAAATGGCAGCGGACCAGACAGCAGCCAGGCGGGGCGGGAAAACCCGTGAAAGGCGGGACTTCGAAGATGCTTGCTACGAAATGTATGCTGACAGAAAGAGGTATAAACATTTAGCTGCTTCTGGGCCAGTCGAAGAAAGCTTTTCAAGCAAATGGAGAGCACTACACCACATTTCCCTATCCGTCATCGGACGACCTCGCGAGTCTCGTCAACTGAATGCTCGAGGCTCCTTCTCAGCGTTTCGGCGGGCATCACTTGCAAATATATATAATAATCAGCGATGGCATTTTATTGATATTATTCTTTCTAGAGTTCGATCGGAGGAAGGTCTCGCCTGTAACGGGTGACCGTTGCGGAGTCCCTCAGTGGACAGGAGACAGCCGGCCATCCATCCACTCCATCAAGCCGGCTGGATCTATTTAGCGTGTCTAGATCTGGAGTACTGCAGAGTTTGATATAACGGACGAGGATTAAAACTTTTGCAGCGCTTGAGTGCTTCATTTAGGTACGGGTTGGCATAAACTATGCCGACCTTCCCTTTATTTGCCTATGCCCCAGCTAGCGTTTCGGCCTGCCTCAGCACCGGCAATTCTTTAAGCCGTCTGCAGCTAAGAACCATACAACAACACATACAATAAGAATTCGCAAGGAGCAGCAAAGAAGGCACACACAGAGGGGAAGTCACAGATCTGGAGACCTGCGCCGCTAGTACAACGCAAGAGGCATGAGACCAGTGAATGCTAAGCTGAAGTTGTCTCATCTAGAGGCTTTACGCATAGGAAGACTTTCCGTAAGGAAGGAGCCCCTCCCCGAAAATATGCAAAAACCTGGCCGTTCTTTCCGCCACCGCTAGCGCGCTTCCATCCCTCCTATGACAATTTGCCCCTCCAGAAACGCAGCCAGGAAAGGCCTTTATAAGCACTGCAGTGATTACCGTACCTCACTTAGCTATGTCAACGCTTTATGGTGGCTCTTCGCTAAGGCGGTACAACTGATTGAGCGCCCTAACAGTTGGCTGATGTCAACACTACTCCCCGCACGGTGCGCTTGTATACTCATCGGAGCTATCACTTTGACCTTACACAGTGCACCTTGCGGAGAAGTGCAAAAAGAAGCTACACAACACGCTAAGAATTAGGTTGGACCTTACGGAGGCCGGTGTAAAATTATACCCTGCTCTTCCGACAAGGCTGCAAATAGAACACTTCAGCGTAGCTGCATCCTTAAATAGATGCGCTCCCGTAGGTAGCAGTTTGCTAGTTAGTGTCCTAGTTTGCCAAGGTAAGGGAGGCAGCAATCTCCACGGGGGTTTGACCACGGGAGAGACTCAGTAGTGAGTTGCAAAGGCGGACGCAATGAAGGCAAAAAGAAGCTAGCTGCATCACGATGCAATGGGTTCCCTTCAAAGAGGAAGCTGCTTGTCACCATCAAGCATCCACTTCGTACATTGTTTGAACCCGGGGAGTTGCAGTATCCAGCATCCGACAGGGGAAAGGCGTATAGCACCTAGAACTTGAGGGAGAAATGAGGCAAAAAGGCGTAGTAGTCCATATAACTGCAGGGGAAGCCCGACAAGGGAGTAACCCAACGCAATCAGCAGCACTCCGAGGACATAGAGCAGCGAAGCTTTCCACTTTTGCGGCTTTAGCACAAAAAACTTCAGCGTCTTTCTGCCGCCAAGCACTAGCCCAATTCCTGACATAAACGCCAGGTTTCCCAGAGTTAGTAAGGCTCGGTCTAGGAAGCATAATACGCCAACAAATCCTAGGCTCAGTCCCAGAAGACAAAGCCCCACTCCGATTCGTTGTCCATCGCTCAACATTGGAGAACAACTCGCCGTAACTGAGCAACGTTCGCTTGCCAGACGTGAAGACAGCTTTAACTAAGGAGGGACCAGCACGCAACTAACTTAGCTCGTCTCCTGATCCTCATCCCAGGGTATGGCAGGACTGCATTCTTCTGGGGGTATGCGTTGAACCGCCGGCCCAGCGGGGTGAGCAAGTACCCGGATCCTGCGAGAAACACCGACTGCTTAAGACCTTTCCAATGGACTGAACGTCTCTCTGCCGAATAGGCTTATGCGAAGAAGAGGTGCTTGCCTGACACGATGGGGAACGCGGATGGAAGCGGCAGCCCCCAGCAGGCGGCAAGCAGTGCAAAAGGGCTTTCGAAGTATCACTCAGCTGTCGTCCAGCTCTGTGCCAACCACAGTTAATTCGTAAAAATGAGGGGGGACGGCAATGCACCGCAGCTGTCCAGAACAAGGTTTGGAGGCGAAAACAGCGGATGAACGGACTGAAGCCGACAGGCTCGCCGTGGTTTGTCTCGCGAACGCGTCTGGGCGCAGCTCGGCCTGAACAAAATATACAAAACCCAGCCCAAGATTAGACCAAGGGGATACAGACTTTTTCAACTATATTGGTCAGTTTCTGGCAGCTGTCTGATTGCTGTCCTTTATGCTGCGCAAACCAGTGCACGCCACAAGCCCGACGGCACTTTCAGGGCCAGCCCCACTAGGGCGGTCTCTACCGAGCCACAGAGCAAAGGCGAATGAGGTACACTTGGAACAAATATGTTTTTTTGATAAATCTGTTACTTTAGAGGTCTGCTAACACTCAAACCCCTAACAATTTGTTTTCCTGTGTCCACGCCGGGAAGTAGCCGGCGTTTGACAGTGCGGAAGCCCACGCTTGAGCCGAAGTGACGGCGACTTGGAATGCAATATCTCTTCTAGCGGATCCAGACAAAATAGTACGCCGAATCATCAGGGAAAGCATGTATACTCGTTGGATGAACTGCATCAGCTCTTGCTACCTGAGCTGCTAACCTGGCCCTTCGCTTCGCGCGTGCAGGCAAATGAAGTGTATTAGCAGTATGCTGGTGATGTAGCTTTTGCACGCAGGCACATCTTCCTCAGGAAGACCATGCCAGCACTTGCAACAGAGGCCGCCACAGCGGCAACTCCAGAGGATGCCCATCAGAGGAAAAATCCTTTTCCAGAGTTTCAGGTGGGAAGCATGGTAGCATTAAACAAAACTATACGCTCAGCTCCTATTGCCAGCTCGTTTGCACAATTTCGCTGCTCGGCACAAACGAGGAGGTTCTCGGTGGACGTTTGACAGGACTGGACGTGGGCGAGTACTGTGCAGGTTGTTGTATTGGCTGGCGGCAGTGGCTCGCGCCTTTCCTCACTTCTCGACTCCAACGTATCTGCTGGAACAGCGTCATGCAAGGCTCTTCTGCCCGTGGCCAATAGACCTATGATATGGTATTGCCTACGAAACCTCCAGGAAGCTACATTTGGTGGTAAGCCGAAGCTTGCCCCCCCCTATGATATGGGTATGGGCTGGCACATTACACACTCAGAAGCTAGGCGAGTTCCGTACTCTAGATAAACCCTCACCGGACCATTCAGAACTGCGTGCTTGTGACTATGCGCTTGCAGACGTAATCGTCGTTACTCAGGCACAGCAACAGGCTGAATTGTCTGCTTACTTGCAACAGGAGTTCCGCAGTTCATTCAGGCGTCTTGAAGTGATTGGGCTCAAGTGCACGCGCAGAGGGGAAGAAGAAGATGCAGAAGACGCTTTGTTAACGGGAAACAGGCGACGCTCAGTCGACATTTCAGACGATCCTGACCAGCGCGTCTGCGGCACAGCAGAGGCACTGCAGCAAATTCGCCACCTTATTACAACAGACTTCATAGTGTTGTCCTGCGATCTAATCGGTAATGTGGACTTTTTCGCCCTTGCAAGTGAGACGTCGCGATTTCCACGTGTGAACTGTTGTCCATTACCTGCCGCCCACTACCTGGACTGTGCTTGCGGCTATTTAGATCTTTCTTGTCGTAACTTGTACAGTGAATCATGGGGCATGCACCTCTTTAAGTCACTTCAGCTCAGAGCCTTCAGGGCTTCCTGGCCTCTGTACTTCTGGTTTTTGGGCAGATCGTCATCGAGCAGAAGGGGCGGCCTGTACAGTTTACTTACTGCCTCGCGACCCTTTTGCTCAGCCTATAGCAGAGCAGACTAAGGGGAAGGGAGGCGGGAAAAAGTCAAAAGAAACGCAACAAGAGAAATGTGACACGAGCAGGGGAAACCCCGTAACCGTCGCGGTGGACGAATCAGGTATTCAGCTACTGGCAATCCAAGACAGGCACAGTGAGCTTATATCAGCAGCTCAGAATATGTTTCGTGCTTCAGTAACGCTCACCCTAGATCTATGACGCATGCCGAACTTTTGAGGGAGCATTGGCTTTCCATACCTGCGCATTTTCAGGCATCAGTCACGGCAGCTCTCTACAGCTGTCGAAGTTGCATCTATTCCTACATCCATCCCAGCACTTGCTACCCGATTTCTACGATCCGCACGTCTATGTTTTTGCCCACGCAACGCTGAAGATTTTCGACCAACCCTCGTTGCGTCACAGTTTGTACTCTATTCGCGTAAGTTGCGAAATCGCTGGAGAAGTAAAACAGCATCGCAGGCAAAATGCATGGAGAGGAATTGTATCAGCATGTCGTGCAGCCATGCGGACTAGATAATGTGCCTTCGCACATGGAGCACACTGGCGTTGCTCATAGGGCTTGGAGGGCTGCAAGTATTGTCACAAGCTCTGCTTGAGTGGGTGCTTGGTTGCATTCAGTTTGACCTTGTTCCCTATATGACCACAATGCAGATGACCCACGCAGCACAAGGTAGGATAGGCCCCTTTTCCATTCCTTCTCTGCGGCCAGTTCGCGGTTGCCTTGTAACACTCGTCAGTCTGCTCTAGAAACCCTTTGCAGTTGGATGGTGCTGTATGCTTGTCATGTCGTTATATACGCAGTTTGGTCCACCAGTCGACTTGAGTGCGACGTTTTTGAGCGGCAGTTGTGGGCCATCCAGCAGCAGGGAGAGGAGGAAGCGACTTCGTCATCCGTAACTGCCACGGCACCAACAGGCGAACTCCCCAGTGAGAGTTCCTTGCCGATATTGTACACTGCGGCGAATCCACCACCCCGTCCAGTACGTGGCATGCACATGCCTTTTTTCACGTGCCTCACATGCTCTTTAGCGGTCGCGGTCTACATAGGCCACTTTACTAGAGTTGCCTAGTCCACCGCTATGGAACTATTTAACCTTCGTAGACTTGCGGAGGTTTCCCAGTGCATGGTTTGGTACAGGCCAAGGGCAACCGGGTTGTGTGCTGCATACACCCAGAAGCAGCAGGGATTTGTTGTCGCGTCAACAATCTTGATGACTACCGGGAAATGAACAATAGGGTGAGCTGTTACATGCTTTTTCTGGCTCCTTAGCAGGTTGTACTAACGCTCCACTAGGGTTACATGGGTGCGCAGATGGTGGAATGCTTACTCTACACTGTTTGCTTGCAGTTTTGTTGTGGCCGGCTAGATGAGCTACGATCAATTCTTCCTGACTGGGCCCTTCCGGAGCACAATCCCAAGAAACCTGGAAGCGTAAGATGAGCTTTGCTGTTTTTCCCTGTAGCCTTGAGCTGTTAAGGCGCTCATTTCGTGCTTCATATGCCCAATGTGTTGCACTGTGCCTATCCATGTATTTTGATCAGATGCGCGACTGCGTCTTGGCGGACGGCGCCACCTTAGAAGCAGACGTGGTGGTTAAGAGAAGCGTTGTTGCCAAGAGCGCCGTATTGCGATCAGGCTGTAAAGTAACGCAGTCGATCCTCATGGCTGGCACGGAGGTGGGGGCAAAGGCAGTGCTCCAGCGCGTTATACTCTGCCCGGGTGCAAAGGTCGGAAAGGACTGCAAAGTAAGATCATCCGAAAGAATAGATCAGTCCGTGATGCAAGCGGCTTCAAGTGCTGCTTATAGAGCATTTCAGCCTCTCAAAGCGTAAGATATTGATGCCTGCGGTCCTCTTCAGCAATCCCCCACTTGCCAACTGCGTATTTTTGCTTGTTTTTTGTGGTTTTAGCTTGTGAGCTGCCAAGTGAGGGGAGGCTTCTGCGTGCCTGACGGTACGATTGCAGAGGATACTACCTTGCCTTCCTTTACGGACGGCGTGGAGTTTGCAGCTTTGCACTTGTAAATTGGCAAGGCAGCATATGCCGGGGGGTATGCTGAAGATAACCAACAGTTGGAGACTGGGACACTCCAGCGCTCCAAGAGACCGCCTCAGGAAGCGTGGTTGACCGTCGCAGTCTCTGCGATTTCGGCGGCAAACGGCGTTTCGTCAGTCCTTCCAGGCCAGCATCGTGGCTGTTTGGAGATTGGATGAGTAGGAGCAAATTTCCTCACAGTACGGTCACCTTCAGTGCACATACCTGGACGAGGAGTTTGCAGCTCTTCAACTACGCTACCGTACGTGAATACGGCTTTGTTAAGCTGGAATGGGCGGAAGTGCTCGTCAACAGTTGGTGCCCCATGCTGCTCGTTTAGCGTTGTGGAACTTTCATTCTCGTCACAACATAAAATAGGGCAGTAGACTTTCCAGATTCGTTCTGCGAGGTTGTTGGCTATGCTCAAGGCTTCTGCCCTGTTGCGTAGAATGATCTACGCCAGGTAGCGTTGCGGCGCTGTGAAGAGTGCGCTGCAGCCTATTTAACACCGTTGTGCAGCGCCTTGTGATTTGGTGGATGATATACCTGCCAAAACCAGGTCCAACCGATAGTCAAGGCCACTGCCCTTATAACCCTAGCGCACCCAAATATTTTCTTGTACGTCGAGCGCTACGATGCTGACTACGAACTTAGCAGTTTGGTGGTCCTGGCACTGCGCTGCCACATCGGATGACAGCGTAATGCCAACACGGCAAGCTCATTCCTGACAGGAGATGCACTCTAGTCCAAGATTTTCCTAGAGTGCAAACACGCAAGGGGAGTTCACTGCCCTCTTCGTTCTCTGTCCATCGTTCTTTTTCCTGAAGTTAGCTGTTAGGGGCCTTGATTCTTTCTAAGGGGAGCGGGTGGAAATCGTCTTCGAATCACTAACTAGTCAGTGGCACAGTCTCGAGATGGCTAGTGGGACACACGACGAAATAGGGAAAGCCCGGCTTGCCTCGTACTGTAATAACCCAACCCCACCCCCAGCTAGACAGGCATGCTAGACACTGAAGCGCAATGAACAGGAAAGCCTAGAAGCAGGCTCCGCTACATTTTCGATAGTGGGACTACTGGCAAACTGATGGGGACCTGGTGGCTGGTATGCTACAGAAAATTGTCTCGTCTCAGAGGCAAGTAGAAGGTTCATCGTGTAAACTTTGTGTCTCCAGTATGCTTAGCTCACGCTCCAGGCTCACTCGAGCGTGGAAGAGCTCTTCATGATTCAGACAGTCGAGGCTGTTAGCATTCTCCAGCAAGTGCGCTACTTGCATCATTCGGTATCTGCGGAAACAGTCCTCACTAACAAAAAAATACTCTTGTCGCAGTCTCCTCAATCGCGTTTTTTCCTCAACTGACCTGTCAGTGAATTCCAACTGTCCAAGACGGCGTGCAAGCAGTACCATAGTTGCCGTTTCTTCGTCATCCCGAGATACATCACGTCTTCCTCGGAGCGCATTTACTGCTTGTGCAGTTGGGGCTAATCTCGTGAGGCTGGCAGCACGGTGCTCCAACAACAGACCCATCAGCAAGGAGAAGCGCCCCTCCAGCAAGGTATCACCATAAACAAAGGTGGACGCTGCTGGCACCTTTCTTGTATATCGCTGGCTGTTCTGTGCAGCTGCGAACGAGCACCTCCCCCACTTACGCTGGAGTTCTGCCAAGAGCTTCACTGCAGATCTATGCCATGCGGCATCTTCAGCTTCAGGACTCCAACTTGGTATAGTGCACGTGTTAGCACAGTCAGCTGTTGTCAACACTCTAGAGTCACATGCCGTGCAAGCACCCCTTCCCAATGTGATATAATGGCAAGGGCACGCCAGCAGCGAACCAAAAAACACGGTTAGCACAACTGGCTCTCGGTTCACAGAGGGCTTCGAGGCGTCTAATAGTTCAAGGGCTCGCGCCACCCGATCAAAAGTGTGTAGCCTCCTCCAAGGGGTTGCATGCTCGGCGCATAGTATGCTCCACATTGTGGAACACGACTGCAGCTCAGTAGTTCCCGTCTCGCCTTCACGTCCTTCAAGCCAAAGCCAAGCTGCGTGAAATCGCTTGCAGAGATCTGCAACAGATCCACAACGCAGTCGCTTTCGTTGCAGCTGGCGCAACGCTGTTGAACTCAATTTGTCCGGGAACACTTCCAGTGATCCAGCTGTGGGGTTATGGTCTTCCTGTTGGACGCTGCTGTGCTCCTCCCCCTTTGACGGGGCACGAGCATTAGCCGGCATTGTAGATTCTGGTCCATTTTCCTCTCCAGTGAGCACGCAAATGCCGGATTTCTGTTCAAATTGATTCACTCCACTGCAAAGAGGGAATGGAAAGTACGCCGCTAGTTTTTCAGCTGCCTGATGAGCTACCCACGCATCTGTTGGCACGAGTCCCACGGTAAGCACAAAGACTGGCTTGTTGCCGGCCTCAATGCGAATGCTATTCACTGCAATGGCTCCTTTCAGTGTTTCGGCTGAGACGACTAGGCAGTCGAATGCCAGCTTGTCAGCAGGCCCAACAGCATCAATTATGCGGAAGACCTGTAGCTGCACGCTGCCGCCAAAGGTATCTGCCAGTGCACTAGTAGGACTCTCAATAACTCCCCTGAAACCACAATTAACTCGGCTGGATCCCCCTAGTAGTGATAAATGATGGTGTAACTCGTTCGACATGCTTGCCTCCTCCTCCTCCAATGCTTCTATGAAGCCTGCCACGCGCGTTTCCTTCCCTTGAGATGCTGCAAGAAGCTGCACAAGGGCAGCAGCAGCCTGAAGGCGAAACGCGAAGGGTTCTATGCCGGCTGCAGCCATATCCTGCTGAGACATCGTTTTTTTCTTGACCAAGGGACCCGAGGCAACCGCAAGGCCAATTCGCTGTCGCGCCGATAGTACTGCTGCGGCCAGTAGCAGCTGGTGGCCAGCGTGCAGCCGATCAAACGTTCCAGCAACAACCGTATACCCGAAAGGCACTTGCGCTTGCACTTTCTCGTCGTCGGTAGCCGTGTCTCCGCTGCGATCTTCGCAAACCCCTTGCGAAGCCCCGTTGGACTTCACATCGCAAGGGTTTTCGCGGATAAGAAGCGCCGACTGTTGAACCTGCGATATGCTTTGTTCCTCCACCTCAACAAGTAATGCTTGATCGGAAGAACAAACTCGAATGTTTCCTTGAAATGGGCTTAGATGGCAATGCCTTGGCCAGATGTCACAGGCTACACAGCTAGAAAATGCTGTAACATTATCCAATACAAGAGGAACTGCATTGGCCAGCCCAGCCTCATCGACAGGTTGCCAAGAAAAGCTGCCTCCACTAGTTTGTCGGTAATGATGCAACACAGCTGCTCTTGCTCGCTCCACCCAGTGTGTGCAAGCTGGGGTCGACCCGTCAGCCGGAACCCCGGCGCGGGAAGTTGCACAATCCCACGGAATTATAATAGGGACCGCCGTGAGCCCAAACCGGCGAGCCAAGCTCCCCACCCTGGTGTGAAGGCATACGATGAGCCGCCATGCTTCTACTCCGCATGAAACAAAGGTGGCGGCATCTCCAAACCGACCGCCGCGATCGCCAGAATGCGATTCGTTTGAGAGCCTGAGTGATGGAGTGGAGCGGGCTTCGGTAGGCACACACAACAGTACATAGAGAGTGCGCCTCGTAAGAAGTAGAGCACGACACAAGAATATCACCAACTCGTCCACCTCACAAGATTCCACACATCTCTTCGTGGAGCAATCGGTTCCCGCTAGAGCCAACCTCCGAACGGTCTTTTCATCAATTATTACGCATGCGGCATCCTCTTGGAAACAACAAGACGTTGCGGATGCCATCAAGACGAAGTTGACTCACCAAGACTACCAGCTTCCGCATGGAGTGCCGCTGTCTTGCACGCATTTGAGACACGTAAGCACCAGCTTGCTCGACCTGGAACTACCAAAAAGTCTCTTCAGCTGTGACAGATTATATTATTCCCTCAAGCCCACGAGTTCCAATCAAAAAAAGGCAAAATTGGAAGTGAACAAGGGAGACAGCAGGGCGGCGGCGTGCGGCTGCAGCCACCGAAGTATTCTACCATCATTAGCTCCAACGCCCATAATGTAACGATGGTGCAACACACCTTGAAAACTAATTTACTAATTATTAGCTACTAAAAAAAGTCAAAGCCACGGTGAGCACAAGGCACAGGTGCAACCACTTCCCGTCCCGCTGTTGTAGTGCGAGCACTACAAATTGCAAATGAATTGTACTTATTGCGCGTCATATGGCCTCTGAAGGTTATTTTTGCGCAGCTTCGAAGTAAAAATGGCAAGGAAGCCTAACGTTGTGACGGAACACCGGCAAATACACGGTGAATTCTTCCGTGTTAACAACTGGAGGGCCCTATGGAAGATACTTCCGCCTTTTAATGCGTGTTTCAGCATCTTAAGTATCCTTTAAGAAGGAGGAGTGTTTCAGCAGCTTGGGTGAATAGAGCCCATGAGGCGCGTATCCTAGGGGAATCACATAGACCAAGAGCATCCATCACAACGTAGCTGGCGGTGCAGCTCACGCTACGTAATGATGGTTGCTCTTTGACCTCTTCAGCCACATTCGTTCTAGGGACATCAATTGATTATCGCTATTAGTACTAGTGGCTTGTTTCTCCGTTACGAATATGATTATCGCTAGTCGTGATGTATTATAGTGCTAACAACGAAACATGCCACTATACCGAATATGTCTTATTTGGGCGGTAGGACCCTTAAAAGAAGGATGCTCAATCGCTTCTCAACAAGCACGTCGTGTAGGATGCTCTGTCTGAAGCAGGTACATTGCTTACACGCAACCTACCTAGGCCAAGTGAAGGCTGCTGTGCTAACTTATTTTACACACTCAGTAGCAGCCAGCCTCCATAGAAATACCAACGTTCTATAAGTGTATTCAGAGGCAAGGCATGCAGTATAGGAAGCTTCGCTGAAGGTTACTTGTCTGCACGCGTAAGGATTTCTTGTATCACAAGCCGCAGCGTGGTGCGCTGCAACGCCACTTCAGGCTGCTTCCTCCGCGCAACACCCAGGCCATGAGCTCAACTCGCAGGAGGCCTGAGGAGAGGGGAAGGGGGTCAGCTGCCTTCGGGAAACTCTTACTTTAAGTTTTTACCTAGATTCCAGCTCGCTTCTGTCCTTGATGAAGGCCAGAGAGCAAGCGTTATACTGAGGGCCAAGTAAGTGTTAAGTCTTGCCTACAGTGATAAAGCCTGAACCAAAAGGGGCCTTGGCTAGAGCAGGTTGATGCGTTGCCTTGCGGCTGAAGTTGCCTCAGGAGGCGCTGCAACTCGGGACTGGACGCGACCACCATTTGGCAGTCACAGGAACCTGCGCCGATGCGCTCAGGGCTCGTGGACAATGGAGGAGATTTTAGTTGCCCTTTGGGAAGCCTTTCCATCAGTACTTTGACTCTATTCCAACTCAAGACAGCTTCCGGCTGGAGTCAAGGCCTTTCCTTGCACCTAAGAAGAACGCGGGGGGGGGGGGGTNGGGGGGGGGGGGGGTTCCCAGGCTAAATGGACGGTACAGCTTCCCTTTTACAAGGCCTACGTCAAGGGTGTATCTTCAATGCATGAATAACCAACTTGCCACAAGTTTGCTACGATGCTATTTTGCCTACATTTCTTGACATTTGAAGAGGGCGTGGAGCCACCTGCAGAGCTGCCAGCATAAGTAGTGTCTAAAATCCTCTCTAGAATAATTCCCTCTCTTTCGTATACCTCCCATTCTGCCGTTGAAGGAGAATTAAGACTATTTCGCTGGTGGTATCAGACAGATTCTCGTATGAGGTTGAATACGAATATGGGGCTTGCGAGCATAAAAGGACCGTCAGGGCACAAGTTCAATCGGTTGGGTTCTGCCCCTCGTCATTGCCACTTGCGGGGTCAGCATCGTCTCTGATGGGAAAGGGCAGTAAACGAAGACCCCGAGCTTATGGAGCGTGCAGTCATTCTAGTGATGCCGTGCAGCGTAGCTAGCTAGCCGCGCACGCTTACTGCTCTTCGAGTGAGGGATAGCTTGTGTTTCTTCGCCCCCGTAGCAGCCGACGGCATACTGCTAGCTTCCTTTAGTCAGAATTAAGCTCCTAATTCGAAAACCACACTCCGAATGTCAGCTGATGCACAGTTACAGATACAGCTGGCTTCATTTCCTCCAGGTGCAGTCTGAAAAACGTTTGCAGAAAGTCCAATGCCATCCTTAGCTTTACACTTCGACACGATTCGCCATTCCACTGGCCCTCATGTGAACATACATCTGCCGCACTTTTTCTTAGAGCTAATCAATTGTGATAAGTCAGGCTGGCTTCTCAGAAGTGGGTGGTTCTGTGATATGCCAGATTGGCCACCTAAAGGACGTCTACGTGGCCCATTAGGCTTTCCGCCAGTGTGGCTAAGAACATAAGCACACTCCAACCAGGAATCAAACTGTGTAATTGAAACCGTTCTTCTGGAGCTTCGCAGGCAATTAGCTCATGTACCTAGTACGCCTGGCGGCGTGCCCATACTCACCAGAGCACTCAGAGCGGTCAGCCCGCCGGACTTTCCACTTTGTTGTCAATCTCACTGTCAGTTTTTTCAGGACTCGCTTATCCAGGATACGAATGCCATAACCCATACTGAAGCTAGAACCCTCCAGAACATCCGACCCGTGTTGCCTGCTGCTGCTACTTGCAGCTCGGAATATAAGTCAACAAATCGAAGTTCGCTGAATCCTCGGCCACCGTCACAGACATGGTGCAAACGCCTCGCTCAAAACTGCGATTTCAGATTGACCAATATGCGCTTCTTGACCAAAGTGTTGTATATTTCAAGATTTTCTCATAGATGCATGAGGAACTTTAGCGGTTTGCTCGGCGGTCCACATGGGATTACATCCACTGTACACTACGCTAGAGTCTCACCACTCTTCCAGGCTCTAATAGGTACTAAAGTAACAATAGATTGTATATCGTTTGTATCTGAAGTCGCGTTGCGGCACCGCATCCAATGCAGGGCATAGTTCGTTTGAAGTCGAAAATCGATGTTCGCCGGCGAGCCACCGGAACCGATGGCAATAGACCGGCGTTTTCTTGCCCTTCGCACTACTGTGTGTCTCTCAAACGATCCCTTGTATATAAAAATTGTATACTTATTTAGCTGTTTTCACAGTGTTCGTTTGGGACTTCGACTACTGCATGGCTGGGCATGCTATGGTCCGAATCGGCTTCCGGCACAGCCAGTGCAGTGTAGGCTGCGTCGAGAGTTCGAGACGCGAGGAATCGCAATAACCTTACCGATTTCGCCGAGCTCTTGAAACTTACCCATAACTCTTACGGTGCTCTTTGCTTGCATATTTTCTTGCTTGCAGTCAAGAGCTCGGCAAGTTAAGCAGCCTGGAGAGGTCTCATTACCGTCAGCTAATCGCCGAAGCAACCAGCAGGCTGCGATAACGCACCGAAGTTGTCAGCCTCCATTTGATTGGAATGGTTCATTTACATCATTTTGTAGGAAGGCGCCCGTTTAACAGAGGGTAGCACGGCCCTGCTGGCCTGGCGATGCAAAACCTTACTTCAGGACGCCGTGATGCCACTAGATAATATATCCCATCTGCCGGTTTGGACATCACATGCTCCTGCTAGATGACTCACATGTAATTCTGCTAATTGGGGGGATATTCTGCTGCCATCCTGCAAGGTTGGGAGGCCCTTGGAGGAGCGCTGCTCGTCAGGAAGTTGCAGTGCTGCCCAGTGCCACTTTTTGGACGAGTGTTGGTCACTTTTCTCCAAGGATCCGTGTGGTTTGTGGTCATTAAGAGGCTTCATATTGCGATAGACACAACCGTATGGACGCATTCACGCTCCAGCTGCCCTGCTCTGGTGGGGCTAACCTATGGTTAAGTTTCGAGTGGAGTGCAGGGTTAACGGGAACACGCTGTTGCTAAACCTCCATCTGAGACGCTTGGAGGTTTTTGCGCATGCATCGAGAACTGAAAATGCAAAGGGGAGGGGTGGGGGGTAGCCCTGCCAGTTCTCGCTCGCTGAGCGTGTCGTCAGACTCTGATGCCGTGGAAGAGCCAGCTGTGTTGGAAGAAGCCCGCAAGGGATCCTCCGCAGCTTGCGCAGCAATAGGCTCAACGGGGCGGAGCAGAATTAGCTGGGTCCTCTCAAAGAGTTCTCAATCTTCAAGCTCAGCGGATTCCGACCATGACAGCCCACGTCCTCGCAGCGTCACCCTTTCTAGTACCTCTCAGGGGCTTCGAAGTACCGATAGGGCCAATGGAAGCAGGCGCACCTCTTCTAGTCGCCGGCCGATTCGCGTGTCATTCATGGATGAATGCGCTTTATCAACGAGCACAGGCGGGATCGAGTCTCACGGAACTGCAGAAGTTGCTCTGAGTAAACAATGTAGAGAAGGCTCTAAGCGGCCGAATGCATCTCAGTTCGACCTGAAGACAAATATTGCCTGCCGAGCCCAGGCTGTTGCCAATGCCAACAGGAATGTGGCGGCAATGGCTGCCGAGAAGCAAGCAATTGACGAGACACAAAACCCTGCACTTGATGCCATGGAACACGAGGTCAATGGGTTACATCGGCAATTAAATGATGTTAAAGAGTCATTGCACAGACGGTGCTTGAATATCCTGAACTCTCTGGTTGGGAAAAAGTGGACAATCGACACTAGCGGTCCGCCACTGCACCCTCACGACACTTCAGAGCAATGCCTTTCAGTATCCGTTGCGTAGGATGCTTTTCAGCTCGCACCCGTGCAGCTTGGGACTGAGCAACTGATGCAGGTTTTCTGCGTTTGCTTGCAGACACCTTGGTCAAACGGATGTTGCGACCTTCGAAATGGACGGAGAAGAGCCAGGTTCAACTAGAAGCTGAAGAAGGACAGAGGGAGTCACAGGACTGGTTCGGGCCATCGGCAAATGACGTTTTTGGAGATTGCCTGGTAATATCCGAGCGGAATCCTTACCGCATCGTCGGCGTTTTTGCTCGTAGGTATCGGGACACGCGGCAACGCCTTCCCCACCTGGATGGCGTTGTCTGTTCCACGATTTTTCCGTGCATCCAGAACAGTGAGCCGCAAACTGGTCGGCCGTTAATGCTGAGCGTTCCACTTAAGCCACCGAAACCGATCAAAGCGTTTCCAGACTGCGACTCAACGCTGCCAGCCAGTGGAAAGAGCCCTGTAAACGGTAGGTGTGGTAGCCCACTTGAGGAGGTCCTGAAGTCAGCAGTGCCGACTTCGAGAGGAGACAGGCCCTCCAGTCCTAGGGAAGCTCGTTTCCGTATCTCGTCCCTGCCAACTCCGTCACGTGCATCATGGAGCATAGGACAACTTTCAGTAAAGGAACGCACTGATGCATGTTTAACTGCCCGGTGTCTACGACCCTGTTCACGATATGCTTGCGTTATTCCTCCTGGAAGTTATGTGCAAAGCTCTGCACTGGAAAGCTATCCAAGAGCTACCGTGGAAAACAATAACATGCGGATTCCCACTCGTTTAGCCGATTATTTGGAAAGAAATTGTGTGACAATCGAAAGGCCGGCCTGGGACAGGCGTTGCAGGCAGAAGAATGAGCTACATCACGCTGACTCTAGGCGATCCCGATCATCTGCACAGTCTGATGGCACGGAGTCAACCTGGGAAGAGGATGAAGACTATGAACAGAAAGCGTTGGGGTTCAGTTCATGCGAAATCCCCAGCATAATTCCTAACTCAATAGCTAGTGGGCTACCACAGTTTCTTAGAAGAGAAATCGGAAACCGTTGGCTGCCAACGTTGTTCGCGGAGGCAGACGTCCGCATTTCAGAGTACTGGAAGCTTGAAAACATGAGGAACAGGGAGAAAGCTGCCTGGGTCTACCAAGGAATACAGACTGAGCCCAAGCCGGTAAGCGGATGCAAGCAGGGCAATTAGCGGCATAAGCAGGAACAAAGGCAACGACCTTTTCTAGTGTTTCAACTAGCAGTGATTCTTTGTTTGTTCTCGAAGTGTTGTTCTGTGTTGCTTTTTCAGTATCCATGGGAAGAAGTGCCCTTGGAAGGTAAGCCACTATCCCCGCAAGAGATCGCCCAACAGCGCAAAGAGGCAAGGTCACGGCGCCACCTCAGCCTAGAGGCAGAACGTTTGCTGAGAGGTATCGGCCAGGGCAGTGGTTTCGATGGCGACGCAAGCACGCCACAACAGCGTGGAGATGACTGCACCATCATGAACCCCAAAACCGCTCAACTGGAAGGTCGTTCTCCAGCTGGCGACGAGACTTCGGCCCAGACTACATCATCTAGGTGTACAGTGAATCCCCCGGGCACACGGGCTATCAGGCGTGTACGCTAGCCCACCCTGAGACACTGCTGGCACTGCTCAAATTAATTACAGAATTTGCGGACAGTTTTGGCGTACACACGCCGCATTGATTTCTGTTTTGGTGGGCTGAAGATATGTAGGCATCCCCATATTTGCCTGAAAAGCCCATACACATTTTAGAAACTGTTTGCACACCCGGCTGCGGTGCCGTTTCCCCCTCGAGGGGACTATTAAAGCCATTTATTTACGAAAACCAGACGGATAGTCAGGGGAATAGAGCCACAGGAAAGCTTGCGGTTGTCCGCAGCTAATACGCCAGTTCCTGGCAGAATACAAATGTTGTTTGCATGCGTTGCGGTTCTAAGTAGCATCGCGCTGGCACTGAACAACTGGTGGCACCATTGAATAAGGCTGCTAAGCCACCAATGGAGCTAACGCGATAACTCCTCTCTCTACAATGTTTACACCAGTTTAAGTTCGCTTCTTGAGCTCGTGTGCGGTGCGAGAACTCATGAATTTGGTCCGCCCTTATGGAAGGTCGAGTAGCGCAACCTGCTCCTGCCATTAGAGCACCCCACGCCCCAGAGATAGTGGAATTCTTGCTAACTCTATCTTTTTCGTCCGCTACATGCGGAGTTGGCTCAGCGGAGCGAAGAGAGATGCGGTGTTATCAGACTCTCTTCTTTATATTCGAGGCGGGCACACTAAAGAAGGCATGCTGTACTGGCCTGACGCAAAATATTGCGCTCAGAGCTGCCAAGAAATCTGCTGACGCCATTAGCACGAAGCACCACGGGTCCAATCGGGACCCGGCCACCAAGCCAGCGAACGATATCCCCAGCATTGGGCCACCTGCAAACAGCAGACATGCCCACTTCATGCGCGGTCTAAATTGCATCCTTACCTATTAACACTTCTACTCCATCCTTCTGCAATACGATGCGCGTGTACCTCTGAATGCTCACCCACAACAGTGCAGAAGGGAAGGCCCGCAATGACGGCGAAGAGGAGGACAGCCAAGTTTAACCTTTGTGCATGCCTTAGTTTAAGGTAAAATCCTGCTGACGTGAAGACGGCGCTGACCGCATAAACGACAAAACAGCAGAGAAATTCTGCAACAAATGTATCAAATAGCACGCTGATTGCGCGAAAGACCTCGTAAGACGTGCTTGACTGTAACTGATTTTGCAGTCCTAACAAGAGTGGAACCAGCATCGGTGGGCACGAACCCACAACAGAAATTGCTACTGTCCGAATAAACGCGACGGCGACAGTCTTTTGCCTAGCAGTCATTGTCGCGTCCATCAGATCTTCGAGGATCGAAGGCTCCTCGTTTTTCGTTTCCCTCACCAGGCGAAAAATCTCCTGAGGAAGGGGCAAAGTGTCGCCGAACGGGTTCAGCCCACTGAATGCAGCTGTGAGTAGGCCCACCGTTATAGCACCTAAGAATCCCGAGATGCCACCGAGCAACCACATGCCTGAATAGTCCACCCACAGATCCGCTGAGTGGAAGGCATAAAGAACATTGCTGGACGGCTCAGAGAGAAAGAGATTCAGGCGTTAGCACCCCTAAACATGCTGACTGTCTGAGTCCTACGTTTTGTAGCAGGTGCTAAGGAATAGCCACGAGCTTCCAGGAATCGCTTCTCTTGAACGGCCACAATGAAAGCGGAGCCTGCATCCCCGGTGCAGTTGAAGTTGAAGAGCTCCATCCATGAGGCATTGGATAAGAACACACCGAGGGTGACCATTGCATTCGAGCTCCACTTGCTAAAGAGGGAGGTCTGTTTCAATATAGGTAAAAGCAGTGTAGGCGCGAACGCAATGTACGCATGAAATGCCATGCTGGTAATGTAGTTTTGAACGAAATAAGCCGAAAGAAATGATGGAACGGCACGTTCTTCGGCAGCCTTTTCAGCTGGGGTAGTGTCAGCTAACACTTGAGTGTCGGAGATATTACTGGAGGCCATTTCATCCCCGTGCGTTAGGATTGGTGGGCGTCGTTGAGTCTTTTGACTCCTGTGGCGTTTCCGTGTGCTCATGTTCCCCCAACTCTGCCGACTAAGCAGATATATATAACCCAAAGACGTCTGCTGGCAGCTGACCCAGCTCTTCGAGCGACTTTCCCCGTCTTATGTGGGAACCGTTGAGCGAAACAGAGTATCGGCGCTAATTGCACTAAGGCAATCGTACGGCCCGGGCGCTCCACTGTGCAAGCCTCCCTATTCCGCGACACTTTCAGGATAAAACAATAAGAGAAGAAAATCAGTTTTCTTGTTGCAACGCAACTGTGAAATATATTAACACCCATAGTTACAGGGACGCATGCACTACCGCCGCGTCAGCGGTTCCCCCCGGGCCCCCTCGAACCATGGACCTCAATGGGAGTTCGAACCCTGGATCATTCTGCAACTTAAAGACGAAGGAAATGACTCCTACTCGTCGTACGAAAAAACCACTCCCCCCCGTTAGGTCGAAATGGAATGCATGCAACAGAAACTCAGTTCGTGATGGCTGTGGAGGGTACCCGGCTCTCTTGATAGGTACCTCCGCTGCCGACTTGTGGAAATGGCGTCATATCATCCATCCTCAGCTACTATCCATGCTTACCTATGTACATTATGCAATATACCGTCTCGATTGCCTCAACCAAGGGTTGGGCTTGCCGCACGCGGCGCCGAAGTGCCCTGGAGAACGCGACGGGAGTCAAACTCCCGGCGCCACACCGCTACTAGCGTCCTGAGTAAGTGCCTGCTTTAAACACTAATGTGTAGGGTATTTATACATCACTCTACCCCAGATGCTTTAGCTCTCCAGCGTGGCCAAGGAGAAATATGTGACAACTAAGACCGAACCTAAACTGGCTGCAGGCCAAAACCAGCAGAGGAGCGCACATAGTGGAAATGCAGCAGAAAAGTGAAACATGCAACGAAACAACCCTGTAGCTAGGGATGCACTAACAGGAAAGCATCCACTTCTCCGCTCAATGATTGGTTTTACGTAAATCCCCGACCAAACCATGCAGAAACACCATAAATGTCCTGGTTCTGTATACTAACTTAAAATCAAGCGGGTTACAGGCGGAGCTGCCTAAATACCGTCAGCTCCGTGGGAACCGCAGTATGCACACCGTCTGAAACCCGGAGCTTAGGGGGTCGTACACTGACATGGAGCCCACCAGCAAATGACTCTTTGGCGCGGTATACATCAACGCACGAGTATCTATAAACGTAGTTTCTTCCAATCCGCATGGCCGAAGCCTGCGAATTGCGTATCTGATGCCGAAAAAGCAAAGGGAGGTCGAAGACATCACCTGTTACATGCATGAGAATTCTACTCTCCTAGAAGCACGGGAAAGTTTGCCATTTCGTGCTCCCACACTTACCATACTACCACTTCCCTGTAGTGAAACCATATGGGGATGGGGGCGGGAGGTGGGGTTGTGTGGCAAACCGCCGAGAACCACAAATACCATCTTCGAAGAAGCGTTGCTTTCCCAAAGCTTGCGTGTTGAAATTATGAAACGAGGTGGACGAGTGCACAGCAGATGACCGTTCTAAAGCTTTCCACTGTCGAATAGAAGAGCCAGATGCGCTCTAAAGGATCACAACCAGGCGACTTGTCCAGGCTTTTCTGCATGAAGCCCAGACTTACGAGACTTACGTCGTCGCTGGGGACACATGCCTAACGGAAATCAGCGCCACCATGGCTTTAAATCGTGCAGCGAAGGACCAGACAATCTATGTACTTAGTTTTTGCTTGCTCCATCGAAAACCATTAGGCTGTGAACATTGCCTTCTCTCTGTGCCGCGGCAGACCTGTGAAAAATAAGCATACACAGACACGCTAAAACTGAGCAGATCTTCTTGCGGGTAATAACCTACAACAAACATGAAATCAGTTCATTGAATGTGAGCTAAGCGCAAAACAGCGCGGCGTTGGCTAAGTGCGCTGCTTAGGTATTCCCAACCCTTGCCGAGTTTTCCTTTGCCACTGTGAGAGCCAACGTCTCCCCAACCACCGTACACATGGACCGGCACGCAAAAAGATCCAGACTCAAACAGTTTCCCTACCGGACGTCGAAGCGGACTTGGCCCGAGTACAGCTGCTCGTGAAGTGCTTGAATGCTAGGCACTCCTGCATCCTGGAATCCGTGCTTCACCCCTTGCATTAGATAAGGTATAAGATTGCGAATAGAGCCTTTATCAACAAGACAGCCTGTGACACCCTGTGCCACGCGAATTTTTTGACCTTCTGCAAAATATCGTGCCGCTGAACCACCGGAAGCGGAGGACGTGGGGCTGGTGCTACCATCAGCCGGGGGCTGCTGTCCGGCCCCCGACGCCGCTCGCATAGCTTCTATGCTACCCATACCACGGTAGCTCTTCACGCGAGCGCCGTTGTGGAAGTAGTAAGCCCCTGGGGCTTCCTCCGTAGCTGCTAAGAGAGATCCAACCATCACTGTGCTGGCCCCTAAGGCTAGCGCCTGCACACAGAAAGGACCACGCTGGAAACAACGAGGCCAACTATTATTTCCACGCTCCTGCATGATGGAGACGAGATAGACGTTGGACAACATGCGGAATTTCCAATAATTCTGAACACTGAATGTTATTCAAACCAGACCAACTTAATTATTGATTACGCTCACTTTGACGACTTGGCCGGAATTCTGTATTCCGCCGTCAGCAATGCAAGGGATGTTTGCCATTTCTCTGGCGTACTTGCTGACGTGGTATACAGCTGTGGCCTGGGCCCGACCCACAGCGCAGACCACCTGAAAAAGTAACCCGAATAACAGTGTCACTAGGATTTTCCACTTTGTGTGGGAACGCAATGGCTACCTCTGACAACAGTTGCGCTGCAGCTCCGCTCACCTGAGTAGTGCAAATTGATCCGCTCCCCATGCCAACCCGCAGCGCGTCGACTCCGGCGTCTATGAGAGACTTAGCTTGTCGCGCCGTGACCACGTTTCCTCCAATGATCTGCACATAGCCCATACACCCAATAACCGACGATCACCTCACTCGTAAGACTGCAGATAAAAGGCCCACTAAAGCTCAGATGAATGTACAGCTAGCCTCAGTTCAACGAGGGGAAACTAAGAAATTCTCGTCGACAACGGACAGCCAACTAACCTGCGTGTTTGGGTAGGCCGACTTTAGCTGTTTTACGAGATCCACTTGAAACACAGAATCACCTTGGCTGCTGTCTATAACCAGAACATCAGCTCCGACTTGCAACAACGCTTTCGCTCTTTCAAGTTCTCCCGGCCTGCAGCAATGTCCAGGTTTCCAGTTTGCTCAAAGCTATGCGTGTGCGTGACCTAGCATCAATGAGTTCCTGGGATGCCTGCGCTAACCGTCTCAGCTGTGGCGTAAAAGCCTTAGTCAACAGCCTGATCTTTACCTTGTGGAGAGAGCTGCGCCCACCAACAGCTGCTTGTTAGGATCCTTGGATGCTAGCGGGTACTCCCTATTTTTTTTCAAATCATTGCGAGAAACTAATGCGACAAGCTCGAAGTTCGCATTCACAATGGGCAGTTTCCCCTTTTTCGACTTTCTCATGATCTCGTTGGCTTGAGTGAGGTCAAGTGGCTCGTGGCCTACAATAAGGTCCGTCGTCATGACCTCGCTCAGCGGAGTATGCCTGTCCGTGATGAAGTCGATGTCTCGTGATGTGACAATTCCCACCAGTTTTCCGCCAAGTGCCCCCGTTGATGTGATTGGCACCGAACTGTACCCGTATTTCTGCAACGGCATAGCAACGCGCATCACTCCCCAACCGCTAACAAGCACGTCAAGTGGATAACTTGACAAAACAAACTGCTGTTCAGAGGTCGCCTACCAAACATCATCGAATCAGAAGCACGGAGGTTTGTCCGCCGCCTGCTGAGCACGGTACACTCTGGCTGCCCACCTTTTTGATGCAATCAACATCATGAACCGTGTCAGTAGGCTTCAAAACAAAAGGTTCCGTTATGAATCCATTCTCGAAGCGTTTGGTCTTCCGCACTTGCTGTACCTGCTGCGCTATCTCCATATTATTGTGAATAATACCAATTCCCCTACAACGAAACAGATGCAGCTAAATTCCACTCGAGCTCCACCAGAACTGTATTGCAGACGCATTTAAGAATGCACTTCAGCTTCTGCGCAACGAGCCATTCACATGCTGAACAAAACCCCAGACCACCAGAGTCCAAAGCTCACCCCATAAGAGCCACGCCAATAGCCATTTTGTGCTCGGTGACCGTATCCATAGGGGAGGAAACTAGTGGAAGACGCAGGGTGATGCCCCTCGTTAGCCTTGTAGACAGGTCGACGGAGTCCACACCGAACCCTATGTGCCCTGAACGCCCACGGCCAATTTACACACATATTCGCCCGGAACACTCAACTGGAGACTATATCTCGGGAAGCCTACAGCTTCGTATCTCCAACGGCCGCCTCACCCGGCATTAGTATGAGGTCGTCATAAGTGAAGCCGTACACAGTCGAGTTAAACACTTTTTCTGCTTCCCACCCGTCCGCCATTTTCCCCGTTAATTACAAACACCTGCACCAGTCCATACAGGAACTTCGGTTCAACCGATCGGGATGATATCTTCTTTGTGAAAGTGGTTCTTCAACCACAGCAGATAAATGACACAATGCCGTGCTTTTCCCCCCGCACGGGCATTGAATATTGTAAGAAGACTAACCGGTAATCAAGAAGCCTCTCTTGCGGTACGCGACAAAAATGGAGGAAATCGGCGGATACGGTCTCGATTGATGGACTTAAATTGTTCCAGGTTGTGAACAGTTGTTGCGAAGTGAACGCAATTCGGATCTGAGAAACTAATGTACACCAATCGGCGTACAACAGGTCTAAACTACCCCGAGCCAAATCGTCTGTGCGGATTGCCTGCTAATACTCTGTATAAGGGACAAATAGCCGAAGTGAAGTAAAAAATCAGTGGCCTTCACCAGTGTGGTTGGCCTCCGGCCCCACACACAAGTGGAAGATCCGTGCGGGCACCACAATAGTTCTGGAACGCAACGAAAAAGCCAACAATAACAATGAAAAATGCATTAGGATAAAAGCGAAGCCAATTACTTTAGCATTAAGTGATGAGCCTGCGCACACACGCTCGACCGCCACGAGTGTCTCGTTTCTGCGAGGCAAGGGCCACCTGTGAAGTACTACGGCGATGGGGTCCGTTCTCCCCGCAAGCTATTTCAGTTTTCGCCTGTCTGCACTTTCTGTACGATGGAAATAGGAGCTAGAGTGTTTTTATTTTATTACCTAGTTTCCATCGTACACCTGTTGCAGTATGGTCTGTTGGAATCTTCGTACATACATATCATGGTCTGCCTGACGTTGGTACGTGCACTCCTAGATGCTTGCAGGCTGGCTATAGATGGCTAAGTACATATTTAGTAAGTTCATACACTGTTTGTATATGCAGCAAAAGGGGGTTCGGTTATGCTTGCATAGCCAATTTCGGGTTGCCTCGCAGAGTTGCAGCACGATGCGTTGCAACTTATGACAGGCTGCTTCCTCTCCGCGCCAGCCCCACTCGCTTGAATTGCTTGCCTGTGAACAGTGGAGGCTGGAGGGGAGTCAACTGCTTTCGGGGAACTGCTATCGTGAGTCCCTTGACTCAATTGCTGTAGCATACTTTAGCATTGTATGAAGTTAGTCTGACTATATCTACGTGTGTAGGCTGGAACAGTAACACTTGCTTTCCGGCATTAATCAAGGAAAGAAGCGACCTGAAACGAAAGTAAAGACTTGAAGTAAGTGTTCCCATAGCGGCAGCTGACCTCCCTCCTCTCTCCCCAGGCATCCTGGGCATTCAGCTCAGGGCCTGGGTGTTGCGCGGAAGAGGCTGAAGTGGGTTTGAAGCGGACATCGCTGCGGCTGGTGAAGCAAGCCAGCCGCATACATGCACACAAGGAAGCTTCAAAGCAGCTTCCTTTACTGCATGCATTACCTCTGATTACGCTTCTAGGACGTTTGCATTTGCTGACACCCAACCTACCAAGGCCAAGTTAAGGTTCCTGTGCGAACTGCAGGCAGACCATGCTACACGTACCAACTTCCCACAGGCAATGGTACACTCCCCAGAAACCGCAGGCCCTTATTCAGCCTTCCCCAGGAGCCTGGAGACTGCAGTATAGTGCAGCTACTTTTTTGGAACACTTTTATTTTAACTCTCTCCACTGCATCTCAAGGTGTTCCCTGGAATGGAGGGCTCTCCTTACAGCTCCACACCAACGGAGGCTTTTGGGAAGTTGCACCTAGGATTCCCAACGACTAAAGGGAGGTCATATGCTATTTTTCAAAGGCTATCCTTGTTTCGGTATTTCTGCAGCTCACAACGGATATCATCTATGCCTGAGGCTTCGTTGCAGCTGCCTCTCCGTTGTAGCATATGTCTCCAAAGGTGGGCTGATTTCAAGCAATTCGTGCGCATTTGACTAATCATACAAGACTTATTGTATACATAATATACATATAAACTTAGAAATTGAATATTGGAGTGCAACAGTTTAGCTGCGGCGAGCGGAGTGCTCGATACGCGATGTGGATCTGATGTCGAAGGTCACGGCAGGGGGGTGCAACCTCCCTGTCTAATCCTTGGCGCAGTCTGTCAGACTACGTTTTGCGGATGGCAGGCAGGACACGAGAGTTGGCAAAAGTATGAACGGAAAATGTGACATTGAGTCCTAAATGACATATATTAGGGTGTCCTGCTCTTTGTTATTTACTACATCTGAGAATTGTTTTTTCACTATTACACAGCTATGCTGCTCCTCGGGTGTTCACTGGACCGAAGCACCCAGAACTGCGTTATTCATAGGACCATCGTTACGGCGTGCATGCAGTTCTCCACCATTTACTGCAGCACCTCTGCACTGCAGGGGAGCTTCGTTGCGACAAGAGACTGCTTGCAGCCCAATTACCGTATATGATGCAAATCCAGTAAGGGGAGCAGAGAGGAGCACACTCTCATCACTTCCCGGCACATAGACCTCAAACGCCTCGTCAGGGGGGCGCATGCGCGGTCTCCACAGGGTCACCTGCGGCATGCATAGTATCACGTCGTCGTGAGTAATGCAATCAAGTGAGCTCCCCAGCACACACATTGGATATTCCATATATTTGTTGGACTCTTGGTGCTTGTAGATGAGGACGGGATATTGATGGTATTCAGAACATACTGGACGGTTTTGTTAGCTCTTGCGCATTCCCCTCAATTCTCGCGGCCTCTAAGGCTGGCCCCCTAAATGCATCAAATCTACCGACCGAGTGTTTTGTCGGGTTCACTGTAGACCTTTGCAAGAAGGCACACGACCAACGCCTTGGTTCATGAGCGCATGCATGCATCTGCCGGGCAGCCCCGTTGTCAGCTCACGCAGAGCATTAGCGATCCGCTCTGAGACGGTGACGCAACGATCGGTCGATACGACTCAGACGCCTTCTGTATGCAAATTTTAATGAATAATACTTTACCTGCGCTCAGAAAGTTCCCCCTACCACACTATAAGAACTCCATATGAACGATTTATGGAAGGATGCTCCAGAAAAGAGTTGCGACTTATCATTTTTGCCCAGACGGAGTACAACCAGCATCGTCTCTAGTACTTTAATTTTTAGTATGGGAATTTGCATGGTTACTGCAAAGCCAGAAGGGGATGTAAATTCAATGGGAACGCTCCAGGCTTGCAGCCCTCTCGTGCGGAGCTGCACGCGGCGACGATCGAGCGGAGTAGAGGTCGCAAACTAGCTTAGTCTTCGGTAGCTTCTAGTTCAATTTTTAGACTGGATAGCTAGCTTCCATTTTTTTCGAGGATATACTATATTTTCCGTCGGGGATTTATTCAACTGGAAACTAGCGGATGCAGGGGTTATCCTTCAAGGGTTTTGTCCCTTTATCTCGGTTGCGTGGAATCGATATGGTCGAAAAAATGAACGAACTCAGCTCAATGAATTGACAAACGGAAACGTAAGAGGTTGCAGTTCGCACGAGGAAGTCTCACAGGGGGCACCGAAAACACGAACTAGGCGGGAAACGGCGGCTTCTCATCATGCTGACCCGCGAGACATGTACTCCTTATGATGATTAGGTGCATGTCCCATGCTGACTTCGGCCGTACAACTGCTTTCTAGAAGACTACCATCTCAGGAATAACCTCGCCCGTCTTACCGGTGGAAAATGACTGGAGAATCGGACCCTGAGAGGGCAGCCGCTTCTATTTTATGGCGCCTAGCCTGCGTTGAGCAACAAGTAAAAGCACTACAAAACCCTGCTTTCCATCGGAGCACTGTAGCAACTATTATCTGACTAATCCGAACGCCGCCTACATGTGTCCGATGTTTGCGACGTCAGTTGGACCGCATGCGCAGAGCGCTGCGCCGCTCCCAACCCTACTCCCCAGCTCATCTGTACGCCGCTATTCGAGATAATGGGAGTGTTCGCTTGTATGGTAATGCAAACTTCCACATTTGGGAGAACGACAGGCTAGCCACCCCTGCTTCTTTTGGCTCGCGTTGTTGTGATTGTGACGCACACCTGTGCGATATGATGAGAACTGATAGCACAATGTTGTGCATCCTGATATATCTCTGCTTAGCCTTTTGCATTTGCTCTCGTCTGGCTCGCGCCAGCTCGTTCTAGTGAGACTTTTGATGAGGCCTTCCCCATTGACAGTTATGCGTTTAATGACTCAGCGAGTGCGTGGGTGAAGTTACTCCGGCTCTATGGCGTTCGAGCTGACGGGCTTGATGGCCGCCTTTTAGCAGCAAGGGTTTCTTCCAACGACGATGGTGTTTCTTTGGCTGAGTCAGAATAACCTCCCAACCTGCTCATTCACCCAATGACTTCCTAAGACACAACTCATGGGCCGTCTACCTAATTAATCTTCAGCGTCACAGTAAAACATTCCGCCAGAGCTTTTGCATACACTTGCCGCTTTATATAGGGCTGCTTTTATTTGCAGCTTTCTGCGGTGGACGCGGCCAAACATGTGTGCTAGCCCGCGTGAGGTTTCAAATGTCGAGAATACGACTATGCCCCAGAAGGAGCCGGAAGAACTGGTGGCATATATGGGCCTTTTGGAGGTTGAAGGAGCAGCAGACGTCGCAGCTGCTGCCAACGCAAGCCGTGACAGGTGTAGAGGCCAGTGTGTGCCTTGTACCCTGTTTAGCTGCATAGACACTTCCAAGACTGGGACTGTGACGGAAGGCAAGCTAGACAGCTGTTTGGCAGCGTGTGTAAGGCTCCAATGCGTGAGGTCAAAAATATGCGTATGTTAGGGGCCTGGCGATAGCGGAACGCTTTTAGCATTTGAATGTAAAGTTGAAACCAAAAACGACTAACGTTTAGAGTAGAGCGGGAAATTGATTGCCGGAAGAGGTGTATCAATCTGTACCTGGCTGTACTGCAGCTGATCTAGCCAGAGCAATGACAGTCCTTCAGCAACCCTCGTTCTCTGCCGTTTCTAGAGTCTTCAACAGACTAGACCGGTGGGTGAATTACCTTTCGTCG